GGGGCGGGATCTCGTCCTTCCTCTGTTCCAGATTTGCAGGCAAGGGGCCCAGAGAGTAATTGTTTCTCTTTGTCAATTACTGTAATGAATGTGATCCGCCTGTGGGGGTGTCTGCCCATCGCGCTCTTCTCCTCGGCCTCTCAGCTGGAAAGGGGGGTGTATTAAACATTTGGCGGTAGGGTTGCGTGCAGATATCTCATTTGTGGCAAAAGTATTATGTAGGCAGAAACACTGCTAATTAAAGTGTTCTAAATGCAAGGAACGTGTTAACAATATTCCAATATTTATTTTCATATATATTTTACTCTTTTACCTTTTGTCTTTGTCAGCAGCTCACTTTGTCCCGCCGGGTGGGTGGGTGAGGAGTAGTGCCGTAGGTCGCGGCGCTGGGGTCGCAGCCGAGGCTCCTGTTTATGGGCCGGCAGTATGGGGGAGCACGGGCGGCCGGAGACACTCCTGAGCACGCATGGAGAGCCCCCCCGCTCGTGTGGAACAACCCCCCCATCTACCCCTCCTCCCCACGCAAACATGGAGCGAGGCCGCAGCCCTTTCGGCCCCCCGCGCGCAACCCGCACCTCCCATTTCTACCTCTCTCGCTCCTCTCCAACTCCTCTCACCCTCTCCCACGCACACACGTGCATCTTACCAGCCGTGTCGTGTTCGGTTGAGAGAGAGAGAGAGAGATGAAGCTCATGGTTGTCGCTCTTTTACAGCTTCCTCTCTCCTAACCCTATCTCTCCTTTTCGCCTAGACTCGCAGTCGTTACGTCACACCTCCAGGCGCAGATCTTCTCTCCTCAGACTTTTGGGTTATTCTTGATCTGTCGGGGTGCTCATGGCTGGGGGGGAGGGAGGGGAGGAGGCTGCACCGCAGCTTGAGAGGAAACAATTTGCTCACTCTGATTTGTTTTTACCCGTCGCCCGTTTCAATATCTGTCATTTATTCTCTTTCTTTTTTGGTTCCAGGTTCCAACAATATTCCGGATGCTAACGGCAATCACAAGGATGACGGCTCCGGTAAGAATAAATTAGTGCCTCTTTTGTACGCTTTTTTTAAATCGTAGCAGTCATGCCAAATGACGCATCTTTTAAAACCGGCGTTTAGAAATGCAGTTCCGTGGTTGTCTCGATGCTACGTAACGACCCGGCAACTCTGCGCGCGCGTCCGCTCCGTCTACTCGGGTACCCGACGGGCTGCGCTCCTCGGAAGTGGGTCATTGGGTCTGGGCAGCATTCTGTCACACTTTGTCCTCGGCCGCACGTCCCGGGCCGGCCCCGCATGCGCCGCCGCCCCGGCCTACACTGCTCTAGGCGGACGCTGTGCTGCTCTTCAGCTTCCGTCTTCCTAATCCCATTCCGTTCGTCTCCAAAGCTTCCTCGTCGCAGCTGTTTCTCACTCACAATGATGGCCGCCAGGTTGTTGTTGGTGTTGTCGTTCGCAGTACTTTCTATCCCGCGACTCGTTTTCTCCTCCCGAGCGGAAGAAATAATTGTAAACTTACTTGGAAGAAGTGAGGGACGATGGAAAAAAAAGTCCTTAACGATGGCTGGCTTGGGGCGGCGGGTGCAGTAACGATCTGAACGGAACACGCGATTTCTGTCCCGAGCAGGTGTTGCCCCCCACCACCCTGCTCCCTCCGCCCCGCCACGCGCCGCCACGCCTGGCAGTCACAATTAGACGCCTTCCGCCGTTTCCCTCTACTTCTTCCGTTTCCTCTTTCCTTGAACGCCCTTCTCCCTCCCCCTCTATCTTTCTCTCTCTCTCTCACTCTCTGTCTCTCTCCATCACGACCCCCAAGATAACGCCTACGCCTGCTCATGCTGTGCGCTCCGCCTCCCTCGTCCTCGACCGCACATTCTTCGCACGTTTTACTCATAATCCATAGGGAAGCGGGCTGAGGGCTGGAGACTGAGACTGTACTACAAAGAGAGAGAGAGAGAGAGAATGAGAGAGAGAGAGAGAGAGAGAGAGAGAGAGAGAGAGAGAGAGAGAGAGAGATGCAGTGGAAAGGAACGTAGCAGCACATCCTGGGTAAATTCAACGCGGACGATGTATTGCATGTTGGGGTTTTCCTCGTGGCGTTTACGTTAGGCCCCCGAAAAGGAAATAAAGCTGCCCCTTTCCCTCGTGTGTTTTATTAATTACACAAACGAGCCGCTCCCCTCCCCCTCCCTGTATCAGTGTTGTTTACAGCTGGCTCAAGAGAGATTGTGTGCGAGTGTATGTGTGCGTGTGTAGAGGGGTGGGGGGAGCTGGGAGGTGTCGGAGTTTTGACGCCGCGCCCTTTCACGCTAATACGCTCCGGGGCTGAGCCGGCTGTACCGTCACCATCCCTCACCCCATATATGTGTGTGTGTGTGTGTGTGTGTGTGTGTGTGTGTGTGTTTGTGTGTGCTGGCAGCGGAAGGTTGCCGGGCGCTACAATAATTGCTCCGTCCGATGTCACAGATGGACAGACCGACGGAAGCAAGCGTGGTCGTTGTTGGAGTTCTCCCCCACGCGCCGGGTGGGCTGCGAGTGGGGCTGAAATGGACGGGATTGGCGGGCGAGGGTGTGGCAAATGCGTCAAGGGCACCTTTTAGGCGGAGGCGTATAGATAGAGTGTCTTCCAGGAGAGGACGACTTCTTGGAGGGCATTGGGCTTGAAAAGGTCATGGCAAAAAGAGAAACATGGTTGGATTCCTAGTAACGTCTGTAGCACGTCTTGCGTCGCGACGCGCTTCAGGTGCGCCTGCGGAGATGGCTGTTCAACGAGGTGTGGCCCCCGGCGGTGGCGGCGGCGCGGCCGCCCAACTTGTGCGGTGCGCGCGCGCACACGGGTGTAAGTGGCTCACTCTCGGAAACTTATTTGTGACTCGGTATATATAAACCTAATTAAAGACTAATGAGCGGTGGAGTTCATCATGGCGAGCAGCACGGCGGCAGTGATTAGAGTTCATGAAGAAAACCCCCCGTACCGAGAGTGGGAGGAGCGGAAGGGGGGACGCATCAGGCCCCCTGTCCTCATTTAGGGAAATAGTTTCAAATTGGCGCGACGCGGCTCGGCTAAGCGCGTGCGCATTTTGCATGCAGATTCGTCCTCTGCTCCGCAGAGCGAATGTCGACGTCGACGACGCCACCGCGACCCACGCGCGAGCTCTCCTAGGGAAAGGGGTTATTAAAAGACAACGCAAAAAAAAACTAGAAAGGGTTCATGGTCGATTTCTAACTTTTTGTCTTTCTGTTTTTTCCCTCCACGCAGAAGATTCACGGAGAAGCCACCGCACCTTCCAGCAGGAGGGCGTCGCCTTGTCGGAGCCGCCTTTCTTCGACCTCACCGTGCCCACCAACCTCACGGGACTGGTCGGCAAGACGGCCTACCTCAACTGCAGAGTCAAGAACCTGGGGAACAGAACGGTGAGTCCTGCGGCGGCAGCCTTGCTGTTATCATAGTTACACAGTGGGACCGATTCTTTTCTTCGCTCGTCTGCTCCCCCTTTGGACCTGAAGTTGCATGTGTGTCGACGGGGAGGCTATTCCCGCCGTGGGTTGGATAGCCGTCGCCTCAATCTCAAGATCGCCTCCATCCACCCGCTGCCACTCCCCCCGTTGATCTCTCCTGCTCACTCCTTTTCGAAAAGTTTCGCGGAGGCGGTGTGTTCGCCTGGGTGCAACTCTAATTGGCAGTGGTCGCTTTTATCGGGGAGTTAGATCCACAGACCGGGCAGCGGCAACAGCACCCGCCAACAACTTTAGGATGAGGGGGCCGGGTAGGGGGGGGCTTATCGGATATTAAGGCAATCACTGGGCGACCGCCGCAACGTTCCCACCGTCATCATCACCTGTCCCCAGCACGCTCCAGCGCGCCGGGGCAGGTCCCGCCCGGAGCGAACCCGACGACCAGCACAGATCCCCGACGACGCTTAGCGGATGGAGAAGAAAAACGGGAATGAAATTTTTTTCTGTTACCTTTATTACAAGTTTACGATCTGGATTTTACCCCTTCAGATCGTGAATTACTGAATTTGTAAAATTGCTGTTAGGCGAACTGTAAATATATTGTAATCAGTGGGCATACGTACTTTTTGAGAAATATTTGTTTAAGTTTTGTAGGAAACTTTGACTATGCGAGCAGTATTAAATAACGATTTAACACTGTAAAATTGAAAAATAATCGCGAAGATTATGAAAACAAGATGTGATATATCGACTTGTTTGCCACACAAGTTTAATCCGTTAAAAAATTAACGAGACTGATCATAAATTTCTAACATCGCTAGTAAATCAGTAGTTTTAAGTTTTAAAAAGAAACAATTGTAAATTCACTGGCAATTCACCGTGCTATTTCAAAAAGTCCCTTTTTTTCTCGTTTTGTGCCGTCCGTTTCCCCTCTATTGGTCCTCTACCATGAGGTTGGTCGTAGATAGTGGCATAAATTACGGCGCCAAACGGGATGTGTGCCAGCGGGACATGCGCCGCACGTCAAGCCCCAGAGGCGGGGGTGGGGGCGGGCTGAGTGCGAGGCTGAGGCCACATATATTTTGGGATCAGTTTGAAATTCGGCGCGGCCCATATATTAATCGCACCCGCAAGGAATAATTGCCTCATCTGGCCCCGCCCCGCCCTGCCGCTGCCCCACTCCGCCCCGCCGTGCTCGTGCAGCCGCAGGGTTACGGACGGCGGGGCCACCACGCCGCGGGGGCCGGCACGGCGCGCGGACCAATGGCCATTGCCAGCGTGCGAATTGGCACGTTACAACCACCGGCCCCGAGGAGAGCGGGCGTGGCGCTGGCGGAAGGGAGTGGAGAGGAGGTCTGTACGTCGTTACATTTTACATTCCACCCTCCTTGGCCGCGCTCCAGGGGAGGGGGGGAGGGGAGGGCCGCACGCCTACTAAAGCAGGTTTACCTGGCCCCGGGCGGGGGGTAGGCCAGGCCCCTGTAAGGGTAGAGGGTAGTCCCCCTCCCGGAGGTGGCCCCCCTCGGGGTGTCTCCGGGGGCCCGGCCCCCTCCCCGCCCAACACCCCCCGGCTCTCATCGTGGCCGCTGCCCCGGCGTCACGCTGCCGTGCGCCTCAAGTGCGCCCGCGCTGTTAAAACAAGACGCCGCAGCAGCAGCGAAATTGTATCTGCAGGGAGTGCTTTTCCCTGTCGGCCGCGATGCAAGAAAAACACGTGTGCCCGGCAGAGAGAAAGAGGAGAGGGAGAGGAGGGGATGGAGGGAGAGAGGGGGATAAAGAAACAGCTTTAAGGCACGTGATCTAAGTGTGGTCCTTTTTTTGCACGGCTGTTAAAACTGTTGGCTGTTACCTACCTTTTGTTGGAATGGCGCACAACCAGGACTGTGGGGGGTATGAGGTTGACGAGAAGAGCAGGGGGGG